TGCATAAAAAGAGGTTACTGAAGTGAAGTACATTTAAAATTGTACTCTAGCAGGCTGGGAAACATCGAGTGGTACCAGTACCAAACTCATCCCAGAATGTATTCAGTATGAAATGAAGTGTCAAACAGACATATCCACGCTTGGCATGTTTGATAATGAATGTAGTCTTTAAGAAGCCCATTTACATTCAGCAGACAGAAATAAAAACATAGTTGGAGTCGTCCCCCAACAGCCATTATGGTGCTCAATTGATTCAGAGGGCTTTAATAAGCCCTTGGCTCCGCTCTGCACCTTTTATAAAATGAAAGCAGAGTATTAAAGATGCATGAAATGAATGTGCTCATTGTCTCCTCTGGTGACTGCCGCATCTCAGCTCATCATGCTCACATAGTAATTAGCTGCTTGGTTTGGAAATGTCACCATCCTCTTCATCACTTTTAGGATAATGTATACTCTAAACGCCTTCAAGGATCTGAAATTGGGACCTGACACTCTCATGAGTTACTGGATCTCTAAAGTCCTAAACTATAGAAGTAAACCACAGAAATTAAAATAAAAATGGAGTGTTTTAGGGTCATTAAGAGCTAAAACAAAGCTCGAATGCTCAAATGAATTCCAGTGATCATTAAAACTAACACAGACAGCCTTGGTGGAGAAAAAATAACACAAGAATTTATGTGATCAAAATTGTTCAATGTGTTTCCTATTTTCTTGTCTGAACATCAAAATGGACAAAAATGACCACCAATTGTGATGTGCTGACACATTTTGTAATCAAAATTTGAGAAAGAATCAGCCATCAGAGCAGCGAGAGCCCAAAACCCAAACAGTCTGTACCCACTCACTGTTGTTTAAAAGTTTCTCCATATACTTGTGTATATAAACACTCCGACGCTAGAATATGATTTGGCTTTGAGGGGACTGGCACAAATGGCTTTGGTGACTTACATCATGCTTGGAAGTCTAATCACAGACACTCTTGTCATATCAAGCAGAAAAAGTCCATTTCATAGTGAGCTATGTTTCAAAAAAAGGGAGGGAACGGTAAACAAGCCCGGCGTTCCACAGCCACCGCAGAATTCATCAGTCATACAAAAAAATACCCCAAGCCCCAAAGTAGAGCTAATTTAATCCGAGAGGAATAAAACTCCATTTCATAGAAGTCGTCCATTCAGAACACTCATATTTCCACTGAGCAGAAACCCCCGGCTGAAATTTGAGCAGACACTTTTCGGAAGGAATGCATTCGGTGGGTTGAGGGCCAAAGCTTGCCCTGTAATTTGTGAATGTACAGAAATGTGTGACCGCCACAGCTCCTCTAAAGATAGAAATCTTTGTCTTATGTCATCGCTGAACCTCAAACTATTTCTAATTGCCCCCATAGCCCCCTTTTCCAAATGAATAGCTACCCATCCAAGGGCTTATGTGTGCATGTCTGAAAATAGCCCGGGAGTTTACACAGGCTAATAGATCATATTCAGTAAAAAAAAAAAAAAAAATGAAGAACTTTAAAGGGATCTCCACGTATCTGAGACTGTCCCCATCTTCAAAGTGGCTTTTAAGTGGCACTGAAAGCAGCGTGGGTGGCACTTAGAGTCAGGTATACGTTTACGGACCCCAAAGGCTTCCTCTGGTTTCTCTGCTAATCGGGATCACGCTCTTAGTCTCAGTCTTCTCAGTCTGAATCATTATACATGACTCTGAAAGTAAACAGGGATTCCTTTGGCTTTGTACATGCAGAAGAGGAAGGTTCGTTACTGTCCTTTGGTCAGGACTCCAGCTAATCTTCACTTTGTGAATTCATTGAGGTTTCTCCTGTGTCATAGTTGAATCAGATGTGTTTGACCGTGGTGCTGTAGAAGGACTTCGTGGTTTCTATATGGCCAACAACCATTTTCTTGAATTCATATTTTGTTATGAGCTTACATTAAGATTCAGATCAGGAATACAGTGATGAAGACAACCACTCAGTCACAAGTTTTAACCCATCAGCAAACAACAAGCTGATTTCTTGATTCATATCCAAAGGATCCATTTTCTTTTCATTCTTGAATGCTAAGAATCATATATGTGAAGGCCTATTTGAAGTGGGTCCGGGGGTTTCACATATCCTCCAGGAGTTCTGTCTTGATTTCAGGCTCAACCCACCCGGATCATTAAAAATCGTTCAGGGGCACGACGGGCTCTGTCCTCACTGCCTGTGCGGCTGAAACTGTAGAAACTGCATGTTGAAATGCGGAGGTCTAAATGTGACAGGCGCCCGGAGCGCACATTACAGCTGGGCAGGGTATAGCTGGGGCGTGTGGTCACATATTAATAATGAACTAGGGCAGGAGGATGACTAAAATATCACTGGCATTGTCATTGTCCCAGTTGAGCATTTCTCAAAATAGAGGCCGCATGATAGGTGATCTGATCAGAGATGATTTTTTTTTCTTCTTGTACTGGGGATTGTGGAGATTGAGCTGCTGCTGTTACATGGAGTGATCGGACTGTGAAATAAGATTCTTTGATTCACATTTTCAAGTGAGAAACACCAGAACTGACGCATGTTAGATGATCTCTCCCTGGGAACCTTGTTGTTGTCAGCTGTGAGTTCACAGGATGGTGGTGATGGCTTTTCTATCAGGACTCAAATATGCTTTACTGGACAATAAAATAGTGAGTTTTTTTTTTATTTTTATTTTACTGTTAACCCCCTTGAGACCCCACACCTCACTGAACAACTGTCCTAGATCACCAAACACAAAAGCAAACACAAAGAGGGAGTCAGAGTGTTTAACAAGCTTATTGGTTAGCTTCTGTGATCTCAAGAGAGGCACGCCCAAAAAAACAAAAGTAAAAAAAATAAAGATGAAACTAAAAAAATGAAAAGAGGTAAACAGATGTTTCATGTATATTTGATTTATAGAACTATTTTCTAGCAGCACTTTCTGAGGACAGATCCTTCAGACACGTGTGGTAGCTGCTGTATAGAAAGATTTTTTTTCTGCTTGTGTTAATGCTGCACTGACACTGACACAGTGATTTCTGTGACCAGGTTTGATCCCACATCAACAGCTAACCTCTAATATTCACACTTTATTTGGACATTTGCACATAAAGGAATCCTCTATTTTTTTTTTTTTAATTATTATTATTATTTTTGAGCGTGTTTAAATCTTCCACCTGCAGCTTCCTCTGTCTCTCTGACTTGGATCAGTGCGTTAGGAGGGAAATTGTGGGAAAGTCTGAAGCCACTCCGATGACTCCTCGCGCCACTTAACTGCACTGAATTTATTCTCATGCAAGTAAACAACTTAAAAACCGCCACACACGCGCACACTGAAATAAAATGTATTATTATTCAAAGGAGGCATCTATTGATTGAATGCATTTTAAAAATGCGCTTCAATGAAAATCCACGACTTGTTCATCATTTATTTATTGCCAGTTAGAATGATACCGAGTCATTGATTACGATTTTTTTCGTCATTTTATTTATTTTTGTTTTCTTTTAAATCAAAGTTGACAGAATTTTTTTTTTCATTTTCTGCACCAGTCAAGTCGCAAATCATTGTAAAAATAATGATAACTCTAATAATAAATAAATAATAAACTATATCAGTGCTCATCAGACCCGACCAGGTTAACTGATATAAAGATGTTTAAGAAATAACATTTGCATTTACAGTAAAAGACAGAAAACGGTGAATAAATTAAATCTGTAAATGTTGTATTTAGAGAAGGAAATATTAACTCTAACCCATCACGTGGTTTCAGTGTGCGACTATTAAACGAATTTCTCTCACTGCTTTTTATAATAATTTAATTTCTCAATAATAATTAAGTTGTGATTCAGGCAGAAACTCAAATGACAGATGTGAAAAAAATATCTTTCAACGACCAAAAAAAAGCCTCACAAACGTGTATTTCATTTAACTGATTGAACTGAAGTCGAAATTGATTCAGATTTCCGACTGTGTGAGAGACAGATTAAAGTTTCCTTTTCTGTGCAGATGTGAAATGTCTGCCTGAGACTGTCTGAGCTGACATCGATTGAAAAGGCAAATGCGCCAACTAGTGTCAGAAAGCAGCACGGCGGAGGGTGTGCAGGGTGTGTGTCGACGTAACCCTCAACATCTCAGGCTGCTAATGAATTCAGCCGCTGGCACACGCACTTACTGCTCCATTGTGTCGTTTGATGTGGAAAAGAAAACTTTAATTTTCTTATTTAATTCAGTTCTCTCAATTAAAGTGATACGAATCTGTCTTAAACCCATAATTTCCCTTTATGAAAAATGCATTGACCTGGAGAGAAGGTGTGAAGCCGCCACATGTAATAGCTTTTGAAAATGAATAAATGAGGGTAAAACCACAGGCCTGCGCTGCCGAAATCCTCCTGTAGATAAATCATAAACAGCTCAAATAAAAATAGGTCAGAGGAGGTGATGTGATAAACCAACGTGACTGAGGTAAAGATGCACAGCTTTCATCTTATACAGTATTATCACATGATTTAATATCGTTCCCTGTGAGACTAATAATTCATCATCACCACACAAACCAGGATTAGGATCAGGATCTTTTTTTCACCTTAAAGTCCATCAGATTTAATGTCTAATACATTTATAGTTGCTTCATCTGTGCTTTGATTACTGGTTGTAATGCAAAATCAATTTATATCCAAATCATTCATTTCTATGCAGTTCTATTAAACCCGCTGCCCCTTCTACAAAAACATTTTTCCTTACATATCATAATGCCTCCTCACTTCTCTCTCTCATGTCTATTTAATATATTAAAACTCCAGCAGAGAGAGAAGCACAGATCTGTATTAATAATTCAGCTGGTGTGTGACAACAGCACAGGGCTGCAGAAGGAGCACCGGAGAGTTTGATTGGCCTGGTGAAAGCCCAACCCAGCAGATTCATTGGTGGAAATCATCTCCACACTCCCAACCACTAAACACTAAAATGACTCGGGTAAAATAATATCGCGGCACTCTGCACTCCGTTCAGCCTCACGGCTCCTTCTTTGCGCCCTGTATTCCTGCGATAAAGGATAACCTGAGAGGAAATCCAACTGGAGCGACAGGACAATCCCTTTTATCCCAGAATAACTTTGGGTTTTTTTTTGTGTGGGAAGAACCAACGAGGATAAAGTTGCAAGAAGTTCGCACGAAAAGGACACTGATATTCTTCAGCTGCAGTTTGACTGTAGATTTTCGGGGTTGAGAAATTTAGTTTTACGGTTTTGTTCAGCGGAGTCTGGTGAGGTCTGAAGAGGCGTCTGGCAAACTGACTGTTTAGTCGCGATCACCTTTTTTCTAAACTTTAGCGGGGAGAGGCAGTGAGCAGGATTGCCTAACTTTTTTTTTTTTTTTTACACCACGTCTGGATTATCTGATCACTGCCAACAGATCAGGTCACCGTTTAGAGGATTCACTGACTGATTTGCGATTTCAAAGTGAAAGCCGAGTGGTTTGTGGTGTTGATATATTGTACACACGCGGCTGGTTGTTGTCCATCAAGTGTACGGCAGATAAGGTGTGCGATAAAAGACTGATTCAGCACTGAGAGACTTCGGAGGTCTATTGTTTTGTGCGCTTTCTTCTGAAGTTAGTGAAAAACAGAGCGACCCTGATGTTCGTCAGGCTGACACATCCTGTGCAGATGATTTAGCACACAGTCATCAGTTCACTGTCTGTGTTAAGGTAGCGAGGCTCTCTTCACTCAGACTTCTAGTGCGCTCTCGCCTCCATCCTTGGCGCTCACACACTGGACTCCTGAGACCATCCGCGTGCGGAGGAAAAGAACAAAAACCCTGTTTTTCTCCCAAAGAGTCCTTCTCCTCTGACACAAGCCAGTCAGGTGGCACTGACCCAAGCTGTTGTGATGCATATTCCCGTAGAGCCGCCCACCACCAGACGGTTCACGCCGCCCTCCACGTCCTTCCCCTGCAGTAAGATTGGAGACGGCAACGGGGCCATGGCCACCCCGGGGCCCCTCAGGTCAAGACCGGACACCAGGAACGTGGTGGACGTCTTGGCGGACCACGCCGGTGAGCTGGTCCGGACCGACAGCCCCAACTTTCTCTGCTCTGTCCTCCCTTCTCACTGGAGGTGCAACAAGACGCTGCCCGTGGCTTTCAAGGCAAGACACATGGCTTCTAATTATCATTTATTATATTTTCTTTTTAATTACCCACACTGCGGTTTTCTTACTGTAGGAAATGCACGAGAAAAAAAAACTTAAAAAAAAAAAAGATTTAAGAACACTGAGACACACTTTAAGAAGGTAGTTTAATTGCATATATTTATAAATGAGAGTGGGCTTTGGAAGTTGTGCTTATATTGAATTTGTGTAGAATGCTAAATTATTAAAAACGCACAGATAAGCTTTGCTTTAAATAGCTTTAAACTGCACTTTCCAGAATTATAACATCCTAAATCGGGGCAGAAATTGTTCGGCTACAGAACAGAGGTCTGAAATTACAAGATAGAGCTGATCTGTTTTTTTATTATTAGATTTTTCTGAACTATATTTTATTTGGATGCTTTATAGGTAAATATTTGTGGCCTTTGTCAATATTAGGCCTTGTTTTGCGTAAATCATGTGTTTGGCTCAGATCCGATAAGAACACAGGGGGAATAAACAACAGTAACACAGGAGGAAATGAAATGCATGTCATACAGATGTTTGTAAAATTTAGATTTAGATGTAAAACAGGCTTCGTTGGAGGTGTCTAATTTAGGAAATCTCTCAGCTGTACAATTATCTTTATTGTTGACATTGTGGTGAAACTGACGATATTCGTGTTTAATATTATGGCAGCAGGATGCGGTTTTACGCGCGCAGTTGTGTACATTTTGGTTTGGTGACCTGGAGTGACCGCTCGCTGTCTCCTGTGCACAGGTCGTGGCTCTCGGTGATGTTCCCGACGGGACTCTGGTCACCGTGATGGCCGGGAACGACGAGAACTACTCGGCCGAGCTGAGGAACGCCTCTGCGGTAATGAAGAACCAGGTTGCCCGCTTCAACGACCTGCGCTTCGTGGGCAGGAGCGGACGAGGTGAGCTGAGCTGCAAGTCTCTGCCTCTTTCTCACCGCATACACTCATACACACGCGCACACACGCGTACACACACACACACACACACACACACACACGCACACACACACACACACACACACACACACTTAGAGAATGGTAGTCTCTGCTTGTATTGTCATTTGCAGCAACATTTGGAAACGCGCTTATATTAATAATAATAATGGATCATATTTCTGGGTCTCACTGACAGCTGACAGCGTATTATTATTTTTTAGTGAATGTGAATTATTGTTAAAACGTCTTGGTCACTAGATATGTTGCACAGACGCACACATAAGAAAGTGGTATCCATTATGCTCCTTAAAATATAGCTTTCAAATGACTTTCTGTCAGTTTCGGCCTGATCTCTGTTGCATGTTACAAAGATAAAAACCGCAAATGTGGAATCATTTAGGTGTGGGTACGGCGAGTGCCCACACTCTGCCAACTGACGTCCATGGGTGTCATCCGAAACATCTGGCTTGCGTCACGGTGCACTGTTGCGATGTGACTATAGTCTAACTTTCCTAATCCAAGGAAATAAGTCTACAAATAATTATGCACGTGATGTCAATCTGTGGGATGGATGAAAAACCACCTTCTACAATTCATGCCCCGGAGGCAAATCTGCCAGAAACGATCCCCGCCACCAGAAAGCTCGAAGCCTAAAACGCACTAGATTTTCATTGGTATTGCGTTTAATTGCTCTAAGTAATAATGATTTTAAAGAAAATCACATAGCGACAGGCCTGTTTGCAGGATGCTGTGGTTAATGCATGGGCCTGCTGCAGCATTTTTGTACTATATTGAGAAAAATCAAAACCTCTCAATTTTCAAAGCTAAATAACCAAATATCCTGAACTGAAAATAACTTTAAACGCCTGATCGCTCACAAACACCTTCATCTGGAAGAGACCTTCATATCAACCCTCTCAGAGCCTTTTTTGGCCTTCCCCCGGCCTCTTCTTATTTCCCTTTAAGGTTAAAATAAGCTTTGATTTGATGAATGGAAAATGGGTCTCGTCTTGGAATTAAAAAGTCGCCCATACCTTTCATTTCTGTAGTCAATTACCCCACCCGAGGATTCCTCCTCTTTTTTTTCTTTTCTTCCCACGCAGTCTCTTTTTAACAAGAGATGCCTTTCTCAGAGCTGCTGGGGACGAGCACCGGACCCGCTGCGTGATGCAGCCCTCCTCCCCTCCTGCACGGACTTTGATGCAGATGGGAGCGAGATCCTGTCTTGTTGAACAATAAACTATTGCTGTAAGCTCTTTCGAATAATCTGGAACACATTCTCTCAATAATCTAAATCATACCCGCAGTCAGGCCATCAAAAGAGGTGGTCTCCGGCCTCTTTTCTTTTTCTTTTCTTTTTTTTTTTTTTTTTTTTAATCAAAAGGCTGGAGCGGGACAAAAGCCGGTGATGATTTGAGTTTGAACAAGTGAGGTATTGTTACAAACAAAAAGGACAAAAAATGTTTTACAGATAATTGGAAAAGGCCCGTTCATAAAGTGAAACGTAGTCCACAAATCTCATAGTCATGTTGCTGTGCTGCAGGAAAGAGCTTCACTCTGACCATCACCGTCTTCACCGGACCGCCACAAGTGGCCACCTACCACCGCGCCATCAAAGTCACCGTGGATGGACCCCGGGAACCGCGCAGTAAGTAGATACACACACTCTTTCCCTCTCTCTCTCTCTCTCTCTCTCTCTCACTCACTCACACACACACACACACACACACACACACACAAACACACCAACACTTCTCTTGTTTTTGCTCAAATACATTGTGGTGTGATGTGAGCGCTGCAGAGCCACCCAGTCAGAGCAGCTACTGCTGATTGTGAAAGCGGGGGTGTCAGTATTTCTACATGCTACAACAACTGCACTGTGAGAAAGTTTGATAGAGTGTGAGTGTGTGCGTGAGTGTTTGTGTGTGTGTGTGTGTGTGTGTGTGTGTGTGTGCGCGCGCGCGCGCGATTATCCATCACGTTGTAGAGGTAAAAATCTGTTCACAAGGTCATGTGCAAAAATACGGTTTCCACTAGATTTATTTCGAGGTTAAGACTTGGTTTTGGGGTTAAGATTAGAATTAAGACTAGGTGGAGGCTGGGGTTAGGCATGCAGTGGTTATGGTAAGCCTCTAGAGATTGAATGGAGCGTAGTATATTGTCCTCATATGTATAGTAGTGCAGGTTTCTGTGTATGTGTGCGTGTGTGCAGCATGGGCACAGAGACGGGCCTAGTCAGAGGAAACTGTAAAGCATATTAAGGCATAACCCAAGACCACTAAGAGGAGCTGAGTGAGTCTCCAAGCCGCAGGTGGCTCAGCTCAGTGGAGTCCTCCTCCTCACCCACTCCTCACCCCTACCTTCCCCAGTGCTGGTCAGAGGGGTCCTACCTGCCCGACCACATAAGTGGCTCGTTGATTTAACACAGGGCAGACTCTGGCCACTGTTAGCCCTGGCGGGAAGGCTCGTCCACTGAAGCTGTTAGTGCCACCATCCAGCCGCAGCTCCATTCTCATGTGGTTTAAAGGTGCTGGTGTGAGGGAAGGTGGAGAGCAGTGTTACTCAGATGAGTCAGTCGCTGAGGGCTGCGCGCATGCATGAATTTTTTTGTGAGCTCAAGGTGGAATAGATGAGATGGATAGGATTTCATGAGCTGCCTATGGAGGGATGGTGTTTAAAATGGTGCTAGAGTGCAGGGTTTTAGAGGTCTCTGAACGGATAGGGACAGGGAGGATTTAGCCCAGTCAAAACAGACCACAGCAGGGAAAGAGAGAGCGGTAGCAAGTGCCACATGAGGAGGGAAATGGTTGGCAGAGAGGGAGCCGAGGGGCACACCCCCCCCCCTCAGGCTATTTGCAGAGGTATAAAAGAGAACAGTGACTGCAAAGGAGGGAGGGACAAGATAATAATAAACACTGTGTCTGTCTCTGTACGTGCATAGTTTCAATTTGATTGTCTTTTGCTTAAAGGAAAGAAAAAAGAAAAAAAAAAAAGCTAAAAGTGTGTGCCTGTGCATAAATGCATTCTCTCAAGCATCTGCGAGTGTCTCGGCTGGAAATAACTGTGTACATTAAGATTGTCTCCTGTCTGTCTGTCAACATGTTACGGCTTCAGCTGAGGCGTCAGAGTGGCCGTGCTACTTTTACACTGGCGCGGGGTGCTATAAAGTGACAGTTTAATATAGGGCAAGAGGAATTTAGGGCTCCATTAAACTCTATTGCATGGTGCTGAGAGGAAATTCATAGAATGACAAAATAAAATAAACTTCTGCAAAGCCTGAATTTAAAGAGTAGCTCTGAATATGATTTCACTTCCTTCAGATTAACTCCCTTTTAATGTTATTATGGCTGAAATACTGAATCAAAGCTTCTCTGAAATATAAACGATACATCCAGTTACTCTTCAGTGAAAACACATCCAGCACCAACCAGGACGTTCAAACAGATAATTACAATTAATTGAATGAAGCATTTAGAAACATGGCATGTTTATATTGTTCATTAAATTGGTTTGAATGAGCTGTCAGATCTGAGACAGAGATTAGTTTTCAGGCCAATTTAGTGTTTTCAAGAAACTCAAAATAGAAATCACTCGAGATATAAGCCTACTTGAGATGAGATAAAGAACCTCTCATATTTAAACAAGAGGCACATTCTAAGAGTATAATATCAGTCATGACGCTGCACAGTCAAAGCACAGGAACACACACTACCACATTCAGACATTATTAGGACCATAAAAATAATCAGATTCTTCTCTAACCACAAGGCACCACATTATATCGGCTGTAGGTTTGGAGCCAAAGCAGAGAGGCGCTGTTGCCAACACATAAAACTAACAGCATTTTTTCATTAGCAATCTCATCCTCAGAGACAGTTATATATTCCAAAACTGCTTTGATCCCCTCCTATTCTTCATTAACAATGCCACACAATGTTGCCTGTACATCTCAGCTTTAGCATTCATAGAGTGCAGACAGCCTGAAGCCAGACTTGGCTGTGCTGTGTTCACCTGTCCGCAGGCTGGCAGGCTGCGGGGCTGGCCTGCACGGGGCTTTACAGGCTGTTTGTGCAGGGCCTGCATTTGCATGGCTGCCAGCCGAGCAGCGGCAGGAGCTGGCACCGACGGGGAGGAGGTTTTATTAATGTTTACTGATCCAGTCAGGAGAACCTGATGGACAGGACTGCGGCGGTGGCTCGCCTTCGGCAATGTAACAAAGGACACCGTGCTTTCTTAAAACATCTGAGTCGTAGAAAAGATATAGATGAGCAAGCACATGTACACACACACACACTTACACACATACATGGACATAAACACACACATAGAGAGCATTCTGTCCCTGAACAGAAACTAGGCTAAATGTTCAGCTAAGTATTTTTGTCTTCCTTGCTGCTGATTTCCTCATCACACATCCGGCATTCGTCACCATACCCCTTCCACCCCCACCCCCCGTTCTGTCTTTCATTCTTTATTATTAAACTTCTGTCAAGGCCAAACTGGAAACAACTGTTGCCACTGTTAATGAAAAATCTCCCACCACTTCTGTCTTAACAACACGCCAGATCAAACAGCAAGAGAGAGCATGCCAAGCTAGAAATATAAAAGTAAAAAAAAAAAAAAAAAAAAAAAAAAAAAAAAAAGGAGAGCAGATGACTTAAGTGTCAAGACCCTCCCTGCTTGTTGCCGGTATCAGATGCCTCTGCAACACCGCTCACACACTTGATGCACCCTGCAGGGTTATTCTCAATTAATCTCACAACTTTATTTTTGGTGCCCTTCTCACTCTCTCACTTATAAATGACATCAGCCACTGCCTATTTACCCATGAGGGAGGGGCCGTTTGTATTTCGGTATCTCTTGACCTGAAACAAATCAGTCCCCAGGAAGAAAAGATGAACTCACTACAGGTCAGATGGATCGAAAAAGGGTTGGAAATATTTTAAGCTTGTGAAATACTGTTCGGAAATAATATGTACAGCATGGGGAGGTATGCACCCCCCGCCCCTCCCCCCCTCCCCGCCGCTCTCCCTCGCACACACCCTATCCCCCCCCCCACACTCTATCCGCGCCTACCACCCCGTCCACATCACGCCCCCCTCCCCCGCCCAGAGCCGCCCACCCCTACCGCACCCCATCACTCCCCCCCCGCGCCGCCCCCTCGACCCCCACCCAACCCACCACCCCCCACACCGCCCGTCCCCTCCAACTCTTGTATTTCTTGGCCCTCCCCCGCCCCCCCCTGCCCCCTACACCACCCCAACCTCACCCCCCACCCCCCACACGCCCCCCCCCCGCCCCCCACACCCTCCCCCCCCCCCGTCGGGCTCCCTGTGTGGGTGCGGCCGCCGGTGGGGCCGGGGGGAGCGATGTCACCTTTTTTTTGAGCCTGAAGAAATTATTAGCATGACAGTGTTCCAATGCGTCAACATGTAAATAAAACATTTTCACTGAAAGTCAATTCTGTGAATGTGTGGAAAAAAAAAAAAAAAAAAAAAACACTGTGCAGACCTGCAGAAAAGATATGAAGGTTAATAAAACGATTAAGAATGTGGAAATAAAACTTGTGCATGAATGATTTTGAAATTGAGGTAAAAAATTTATTTTTGTGAATATCTGAGGACAGATTGAGCGGCCAATCAGAAAACTACATTTTTAGAGTGTACATCTAATAACTGCATACATTCAGATAGAGCTCACACACTCACACCCGCAGGCCCACGCATCCACCAAAATCACACAAGTGCTGTCGTGTTTTGCTGCCTCTATTTGCTCGGCTGGGTGTGTTCACACTGCTCCAGGAGGAGAATGGCAGGCGTGGAGGTGGGGTGGGGGTGGGGTCACAGCAATGGGGGTGCTTGTTGGAGTTGGCGGGTTGATTCTATTTGCATTTGGCACACAGACTGTACAAAGTATGCAAATAGACAAACAATGACATTTGCTGTGTTATTTTCCCTGCGATATTGCAGTCTCTCTGTAAAGTAAACAAAGAGATAGCATGCACGTTGTTGTGTATATATTTGCGTGTGTGGGTGCTCGGCTCATGCACCTGCCAGGTGCGTCCATCTCTTTAAGTCGGCCCCACGGGCCACGCCCCTGCTCCACAAATCACATGAAAGGCTCACCCTCGGTGCGAATTGCTCTTCTCAAAGGCAACTTTGATGTTTGAAAATGGAGATGGGTGTCTTTGAAAGAAAGGCCTACAGGTGTATCAGTGCCAGGGGAGGGGAAAAACAGTGGCATGTCTGACGATGGGTGCTTTCCTGACTGCTAATGGCTCACCATGACTCCCAGATGTATGACCTGGAGACATAGTGGCCTACGCACATAATCTCTCTCACACACACACTCACACTCACACTCTCTCTCTCTCTCTCACACACACACACTCACAGACACACACACACACACACACACACACACACACCCACACACACACACACACACACACACACACACCCACACACACACACACACACACACACACACACCCACACACACACACACACACACACACACACACAGCGGCTAGCCTCAACAATCAAACTCATGACCACCTACTTTATGATTTAGAAGAGAAGACCGTCGCCTCCGTACCACTCACAGACAGATGGGAACAGATAAAGCGGAGATTTTATGTCTTCTCCA